ATTTACACTAAAATTAATATTTTTTATTGCTAGGATATAGTTAAATTATAACACTTTCTCTCCTTCTCTCATCATTTTCTAATGATATTTCTTTCCCCGTCTTAAATAAAGAAAATAAAATAGGAATAAAATAAAATTTTAAATTAAATTATTTAATTGTCGGGATGAAAATAAAAATTGAGAGATATCTTTAGGCATACATTTTCAAAAAAGCACTACACCAAATTTTTTTAAAGGAATGTGATTTTACCTAGATTTTAATTTTAATCCCTTATTTTTTTATATTTCACAAACATTTTTTTTTACAAAATTAAGAATAAATTTAATATCAAAATATTTTTTTAAATCATAATAATCTATTAAAAAGCAATATAAAATAAATTATCAAGTTTAATTATCAATCAATGTAATATAAAAGAATAAAATTAAAAAAAAATTTGATAATCAAAACAAAAAGAAAACTAGAGAATTTTTTTGAAAGAGCTATCATTTCACTTTTTTTTTAAAATTTTAATCCCTTTATTTTTTATTTTGCATAAACAACCAAAATGATTTTTGTTTTTTAGATCAATAACCACTCTAATATTGAATGTCTTTTTAGAATTATGATAACCTAACAAAAAAATAATATAAAACAAGTCATTAAGTCTAATTATCCATCAATCATAACATGAAAATGATGAAATTAAAAAAATAAAATTAATAACTGAAATAAAAAAAAGAAAGATACAGAAGTATTTAACGTGGCTTTTTAATTTGATCAATATTAAGCAACGAGGATCCATTTGTTAAAATCTCTTTATTAGTTGAGCTATTTCGACCAAAACTCCATAGATTGGGGACAGTTTTGTGAAATATATCATAAGTTGAGGACTGGTTTGTAGTTATCTAAAAAATAAAGTTGTTAGATGCTTGTGGACCCACCAAATATGGGACCCCAGATTCCAGCTATCAGTCATTGCCGCTTAATAACACACGCGCCCCAATGGAAGGTTTTATTCCGTGAAACCACAGAAGTTAAGCCCCCCGCCGGACTATTTATAATATTCCACGGAGAACCTCCCTACAGTCACGCAATGACGCATCCGCCGAATTTTCCAGGTTGTGGGACCCATGAAAAGATCACCAATTACCTCAGCCTTACAAACCAACACACGTCAGAACATCATTTCTTCACACAAAAGATTCTTTCTTCTTGACGAGTAGAAACCAAGCACGCGTCCGCCGTACGGGTTGTTCTTCGTTTCACTGATCAGAGTTTTAAAGCAAACAAGCAGAGCAAAGGGAGAAGGAAGCGAAGCCATTAACGCCTCAAAGAGGAAAGAGAGAATCATGTCATCGTTCACCGACGACTCTCCTAGAGAATACAGCGGTTCTTTTAGAAACTTTGATGCTAACTCGCTGACCGGTAACTCGTCACCGGTCTTCGCTTCTCAGTCATACAGCACCACCGGAGATGACTTGTTCTCCTCGCAGCCGGTGAGCGATGACGGCGGGTTCTCCCCGGAGCAGAACGGGATATCGGATGGACCGATCTTGCCTCCTCCGTCGGAGATGGAGTCCGAGGAAGGTTTCGCTTTAAGAGAGTGGCGTAGGTAGTATCAGTTATATGCAGCCAGCTGTTGCTTTGATTTGATTTTATTTTTTATTAATAAAAAAACTTACATAACAAGTGCAGAGAGAATGCTATAAGACTGGAAGAGAAGGAGAAGAAGGAGAAGGAGATGTTGAAGCAAATAGTAGAGGAAGCAGAAGCATATAAAAAAGAGTTTTACAGGAAGAGACAGCTGACTCTAGAGAACAATAAGGCTGCTAATAGAGAAAAGGAGAAGGTGAGGGAGTACATCTCAATTAACTCATATTTTTGTTAAAATAATTTTAAATTTCCATGACAATATTTCTTAGAACAATCTAACAAAGTATCTTTAAAATGTATTAAAGCAATTATTTTAAATAAAATAACATAAAGGGGCCATTAGATTCAAATAGAATGAAATGATCCAATGATGTGGGTGCTCTATGTTCATTCATAAGGTGCTGGGCATTATTTAAGTATTTGGAAGAAGATTGTAGAAGAAATCCCATGTTTTTTTTTTCTGTCGGGGTGCCCTTTACAATATTTTTTATTTGCACAAATTATTTTGTTCTCAAATTTAGGATGGCTAGTGGAGAAATGATATTCATTCTCATGTAGTCATAGCATTTATTTTTTTGGTTTTGGTTTTGGTTTTGGTTTTGATTTTGATTTTGGCTAGCTTTATTGAAGAAGTTGTTTGGTTGCTAAATTTAAGAGCATTGGTGTTTTCATGCTTTGATCTAAATTTTGGAAACATCAGATCTGTATGGGTAATCAGATATGCATGAACTTCTCAGGTGCAGTTTAAGGTTTTGCTAGTCTGAAATAAGTGATCTTGACTGCCTATTGATTAGCACTGTTACAAGTTGCAACCTGTTGATCATCACTGTAGTTATGGTAATAATAATCAAAGTCGCTAATAAATCTGATCCAAAAAAGGGTGTCATGTGGCTGAACCTATCTAGAAAAGAAGAACAACTTAAAAATAGTCTACAATGAGTTTTCTTGATAATCGTGGCATACACCTGAGAAGCCCGGACATTCTGAGCTTGTTTGCCATGCGTTCCTAAAATTTTTGATTATTTTCAATGTTTCTAGATCATTTTGATTTGTTATGTAAAAAATGAATTTTAAAAAAATAAAAAAAATATTATTTAAATGCATTTCCGAATGAAAAATAACTGCTATTACAATACCAAACCCACATTTTTTTCTAAATATATGTGTGTTTGAGCTTATGTGAATCTAAATTACTACATGTACACAACTTCTAATTATTGAATGAAATACTAAAATAAAGATTTATTTAAATTACATAATTGAATAAATAGAAAAATGTCTTGGAATGCTTCTTGGTATTTGGGCAATGGCCTCCCTCTGCCCCTTAGCCTCCTCCACTGGTGGTGTAGCTGGAGTGAAGGTATGTTCTTATCTGATTTTCATTCACAAATGTCAGTTATTTTTGGCAAACCGGGAGAAGTTCCATGCCGAAGCTGGAAAGAATTATTGGAAGGCAACTGCAGAACTCATTCCTAGCGAGGAGCCAACAATAGAGAAAAGGGGGAAGAAAGATGAGAAGAAGCAGCCCACCATTGTGGTGATCCAGGGACCGAAGCCTGGCAAGCCTACTGACCTATCAAGGATGCGTCGTATACTTCTCAACCTTAAACACAATCCACCTCCCCACATGAAGCCCAAGCCTCCACCACCAGCAGAACCTAAAAAAGATGTCAAGAGTGGTCCTGCTGTTGCCGCCCCTAGTACAGCTTCCACAAAGACTGCCGCCGCCTCAACTCCGGAGGCAGTAGCTGCTGCTTGAGAGTGAAGCTGCTGCCTGTTGGGTATTTATGTGAAAAGTAATTAGCTGTAATTAAAACTAGTTTAGTCTGATTGTAAACCATATGGTATCTGAATTCTCGTCCAGGTGAACGAGCGTCTTGGTTGATTAGGCATTTAGCAGTATTGCAAGTAGAAAAGTTTTGTTTCTGTGCTGATTTTCTAGGCTTACTATTTCGGTGTGGTTTTACGAATGCAATTACCATTATGTGTTGATCTTAACTCCCAATCATTCAACTTCAAGACTATCCTGATTAGCTTGGCAGCAGGTGTTCGGAAGCTTTTCATTTGCCGGCAGACTTGCAATCATAGCAGTTTAAATGCAACATATTCTCTTTGCTGATTCTATGTCTTGCTTCATTCTGGGAAATTTACCGAGGTCAAGCTGTTCCATGTGATTTTATTTTAGAAAAAGCTTGCACGAGTCAAACGAGTTTATTGATAAAAATGAAATTAATTTTTAATTTGATTACGGTTGAAAGTTTACACGTGTGATCAATTGATCTGGTCTTGTATAGAGTCAGCTACTTCTAGCTAGCTGAGGCAATTAGGTTTAGAAGCCATTGTTAAAAAGTCAGGATATGTATTGAATTGAAATGAAATTTTATGAGCTTTTTTTTTTAAATATAGTTTCACGAGTTCACAAAGCTGTTACCAAGTGCGGTCGTTTTGATGCTTAAATTAGTTCTAGAAGTTTTTATTTGGAATTTTTTTTATTTTCCTTGGTTATTTTACTTAAATAACAATTAAGAATTATTGACCTTCAGGATTTATTTTTTCTCTGTAATTTAGTGCTTTTCATGCGTCCTTTACTTGGTGGGGGTGGTTTTCTTTCATTTTTTGGATTTTATCGGCTGCCATCCTAATAGGCTGAGGCTGGCTGGGTTGGTTGTTTTTGGCTTCTTTGTGGACTGTTTGCAGGCTACTCCAGACTTTGGATTGGCTAACTCAAGCAGCTTGGGTGAGCTTCGTCATAACAAATAGCCCCATCTTCTCTACTCTATCTACCTGGCTTCACTTCAGCTGGCATCTTTTTTGTTCAGTTTTTTGTATTTTTGATGTTCGTTTATCAGCCACTCTTCATGTTGCCCATTGGTTTCTTCCTTTAATCATGGCGTACGTTTGCTTGATGGCTTCTCAATCATCCCGCTGGCTTCTCAAGATAGGCATCTAAGCAGGCTTTTAGTCCTTCTCGTGAGGGACTGTTATGGGTTCGTTTGTTTTGGAGTGGATTAGGTGATAGTTATCTTGGCGTTTTTGCTATTTTTTCATGCCCTTACAGACCTGTCTCATCTTGACTGTTCCTATCAATTTTTGTTTGAAAGAGGCTGCCGTGTTTTTGTTGATTATCATGATAGGTCTTCTTGCTACATCTTTTTCACTCATATGTAATGGCCCTAGTCCTTATTTTATGGGTTCTCGGTCCCCCCGACACGCCCCATCTTAATTTTCTTATCTTCTTCTGATTTTTTTCCTGCCGCTGCTCACTTCCATTTTTGTTTCTTTGCATTTGTTCTTGTTTTTTTTTTTGTTTTGTTTATATCAACATTAGATTGGCCTTTGTCGTCTATGCTGGTTTGTTTCTTTTCCTTTGTTATTGTTTTTTTTTTTTTTTATCGTTTCTCTTATAGCTCTAGTGTTGTTCTTTGTTCTGGTTTTTAATTTGAATTTCACAGGATTGTGTGTTTCGTCGCTAATTTATGTTCTGATTTCTATGTTTTTCTTTCACAGGTTTCGTCATTGTTGGTTGTCTGTCTGAGCGTTTCATTTCAAAGTAAGGGCTGCCAGTCTTCTTTCGTTCTCATTTTTTGATTTTTGTTGCGGCTCCTTTATGTTTTTCGTTGTCTTAGTTAACACATATCGTGTGCGATAATTAATGTTAGTTGCGACCATTCTTTGGTGATTTAGTCTTGCCATGTTTTTTCCAATTTCAGTTTTGCATCTTCATAGCTTTCGTCTTCTTAAAGACTCAATGGTTCTGTGGTGTCATATCGGGGACGAGCATTTGGTTTGTATAATTAGGTTGTTGTTTTAGCTTAATCCTTTTCCTCATCAAGTCCATGTTCTTTGTGATGGTTTTTTTGTTTCTTAATCCTGAATTAGCCCTTCTCTTACGTTAGACCTCCTTGCTGCTTTAGACACTGTGGACTGTTTATATGCAGGCTAGGAACCGTGTTTGTTGTATCTATGTTGTCTGTGTATGGTGGTCAATCCAGTGTTCTCATGATGCCATGTTGGATTGGTTTTTACGATCTATCTTTAATGTCCTTTGATGCATTCATCTTAGCCCACGTACAAATTATTATTTTTATGATGATTTACATGTTGAAACTCAGTGAGATTTGCAGGGTGGGCTGAACTCAGTTTCATATATTGATTATTAGCTGATTGTAGTATAATCAGCTAATTAGATGATGATCCTCATAAAGTTGTCGGATAGAGAATGTTTGGGTGTTTTTTGGTTTTAATTTTCTAAAGAGAAGTCCATTTTGGACTGTCTTTTTATGACAATATACGTTGAACTATCATCGTTTTTGTTTCTCCTTCATTGTATCAGTGACTTAAACCTGCGCCATGGGGGAACTGGGTTGCCACTGTTTTCTTGCTTAAGTCATTGATTCTCCTGTTCTTTTTCTTTTTTGCCTCTGTTTACAGTGACCCTATAAAGGACTAGGTCAGATTTTTTTTTCCTTTTCTATTAACGCCCCCATAAAAAAAAAAAAAAACACTCTTTGGTTTTCTTGCGTCTACTTAGCAAGAAAAATAGCTTGAGCCTCAACATTTGCTGACGGAGAGAACTGAAACTGATCTTGCTTTTCGCATAAGGTTCTTTTGTCTGTTGTTTTTTAAGGAGTTTGCTGTCAAGTGTTGCTTCCCCTTGGTTGCTGCCAAGTCTTGCTGCCTTTCGGTAGGTTTTGGTTGCTGCGAATCTTCCCATAACTCCCATTAAAAATATATTTGACTTTTCATTAGCACCTTTTTTTTTTATCAGCCACCTATACTTATTTTGTGATTGGCTAAGGATCCTTCACTTCCTTAACTTAAATACACAGTAATGGATGCACAACTTAGGCTTTCTCCTAATCTTCTGCTGCTTCCAGGTGACAGCTTCAGTTTAGAGCTTGGAGACAGCACACCAATTGCATCTTTCTTGGATGATGAGGCTGGATCGTCAAACCATGATGGTTCGCCCCCTACAAAAAAAGGCACGCACAGCACAGCAAATGTTGAGGCTCAAGCTATTTTTCTTGCTGAGTAGACTGTCTTTATTATGGATTTTCTTTTGCTGTTTATTATTAAACCATGTTGTTTATCCCACTGTCGAGAGCTTGGGTTTTATACAAGGTATCGCACCACTGCCATTGCCTAGCAATTTTTCGATATTAGAGTTTGTACATGGTCTTTTAGAAGTCATCTACCATATGCTTGTTTGTCAAGGAGAGTTGGAGTGTGTCTTATTTTTAAAAATATTTTTTATTTGAAAATGTATTAAAATAATATTTTTTTTATTTTTTAAAAATGTTTTTAACATTAATATATTAAAATTATTTAAAAATATTAATTTAAAAAATAAAATAAAATATAAATATTTTTAAAATTAAAAAATAAATAGAGTAATGTTAACTTGCGGCGGAGCATCTGGTAAAAATACACCAAAACGCATTGATCTTTTCTATAGTAATTTAAAATGTTTTGTTTTTTAAATATTTGGTCATGAATTTTTTTTTCTTTGAGTATATCATTTTATGAATACTTTGTAATTTATTATATAAAGGAAATATTAAAAAACGAGTATAGAACATGGAAAGCACATATGGTCGCCTTTTCAATTATGTAATTTTATTTTTCACTCCTAAGTTCATGATGTTCATCTTTGGTTCTAATTTTAAAGAAGAGAAAAAACTTTTGGTTTTAATTTGAAAGAAGAGAGAAAATAATTGAAAAATAGACAAGGAGAGAGGAAGTTATTTGTTGGGGTTGTTTTAAACAAAAAAATATTTATTGGTATTGGTGTAATAAGTTTTATTTAACAAGAAAATTTTTATTAAAATATTGGTTGATTCTCATTTTGCAGGGAAAAAGTAGATCAAGATTCAAAAATATTTTGTAGGTTTAATTTTATATTTTTGGATCAATGTAGAGGTTTTTCACTTAATAAATTGGTTTATTGAGAAGTTAAGAATGTTTATTAGATGTTTTTAAATTAAAATAACTTAGAAAATAAGTTTTTGACTTAAAATACCTACCTCAATTTTGTTACCATCTAAAAGGTGGTCAAAATCTAGATAATTAGACTATACAACATCTATCACTACATATAACACATATTTGATTTAAAAAAAAATATAAAGCAAATAATATATTGTCTATTTTCTTTAAAAAAGTTAATCACCATATGGGCTGTACTCATAATTTCATAATTCATGCATGCTTAGCTTTTTTTTCTGTTAGGTTAGACTTCTATGCCTTTCTTTTCATGCATGCTTAGCCTTTTTTTATGTTAGGTTAGACTTCTATGCCTTTCTTTTTATATATTTTTTTATTAGATTTAATTCAAATGTACTAAAAAGAACTTGACATGATATTCCAAGTAATGCCCAATTAGATCATTTTTCATGTTATGCTATACGTCAAGTCAAATGTTTTCTAGATATAAAAAAATATTCAGGTGTTGTTAATGTAGTTTTTAGTAAAAAAAATTAAATAATATAAGAATTGACCTAATGTGTATTGATTAATTTGATAAGTCCAAAAACAAATCAGAAAATTGATAAAAAAATAGTTCAACAAAAAAAAAACCAGGACAATATCTTGTTTTAAATACTACAATGATAATATATTAGATCGATTAAGATTAATTAGGATTAACTTATTAAATCTATTATTTAATTCATGAGACTTTGATAACTTATAACAATCAAACAATATTTTTTTATTAAAATTAATTCTCAATCAATCTAATATTAAAAAATGAAACTGAAAATAAAATTCAATTGAAAAAATAAGTTGAGTCAGCCTGCCAAACCTTAGTCATGAAACTGGAATAACACCGTAGAAATTAAAACAAAATAAATTATGAAGTTTAATTCTCAATCAACTCAATATTAAAGGATAAATAAATTAATTAATTAAAAAAATACAAAAAACCACTTAGTCAACTAACCAAACTTATGACTCAGATTTTGAGAACAAGATAATCTTATAGAAAACAAATTAAAACACATTATATAAGCTAATTCCTAATTAATCAATATCAAAAGAAAAAAAAAACTAAAAACAAAAAACTCAAGTTAATTTGCCTAACTTGTAACTTGGGTTATAAGCCCATAATATACCCATATAAAGAAAATAAAAAAATATTATAAAGTTTAATTTTCAAGCAATTTGATGTTAAATGATGAAATTGAAAAAACAAAACAATTAAAAAGACAAAAAAAACTCAAGTTAACATGCAAAACTTGCGACTTGAGTCATGAAATCATGAAAATTTCATGGAAAAAAAAAAATCATGACAATCAATTACCAACCAACTCAATGTTAAAGGATAAAGTTAAGAATAAAATTAATTAAAAAAATAACAAAAAATTAACCTAAATCAACACGGTTAACTTACAAAACTTGTGACTCGAGTTATAAGATTAGGTTAACTTTTTATGAAGTTTAATATCCAATAATTCAATAATAATAGATGAAATTAAATAAAAAAAACTTTAAAAATTTTAATCATCAAAATGAAAAAGACCTTATCATTTCACTGAAATGTAAAAAATCTTTTAGTATATGTTAATTTTTTCTTGGTTCTCTAATAATTGTTTAGCTTTTTATAAGGATATTAGCAATTTTTTTTCAATTATTATATATCTAATATGAAAAAATAAGTTTATAAATATTCAATTTAAGCTTTTCTTTTTATTTTTTAATAGATTTGATATAATTTTATCATGTTTATTTTTTTTTCAATCACACATGAAATACTTGTTTAAATGTTTTTTTTTTGTTTTGGTTTTCTTTTAGGATCATGATGCCTCTTTTTTTTTAAAAAAAATTTCTTGTAATTAAAAAATATATTTTTGCTAAAACAACAGAGAGAAATGTGTTAATAAATGAATAGAGTTTAGATTGGAGGGATGCATTTTCTCTACTTATTTCAAATGGGTTGATTTTTGTTTTTTTAAAAATACTTTATTTTTATTCTCACAAACCGCAAAGCAAATTAAGCAAGTTAATGAGAGAAGTTTCTAAATAAAGAAAAATATTTTCTATCCTTTTCTCAAATAGTCTTGATTTTTTTTCTAATTCTAATTGCTTATTAAATTAATAACCAAGGAAAAAAAATATGCTTTCTTCTTCATGAAAAACTATATTGATGAAAAAAAATTTCAAGAATTATGCAAAAAAATTAAATTTTTCAACAGAGTTGAAATTATTATTTTTCTTACAAGAAACAATTTTATTATTGTATTATTAAGTAAAGTAAATTAAAAAGCTTCCACGTAACATTATATATTTTAATATACAGTTTTATATTAATTTATTAACTAGGTCTATATTAGATTGAAATTCTTTTATATATAATTCTTTATTTTATTAATTAAATACTTAGCATGCAACGAAAATTTGTTTTTTGATTGTTGAAAATGCATTGCTAACTTTTACATTTTTTCGCATTATAATTTTTTTTTTTGTTCACCCCGCAGCAGAGCGCGCGGGCGCGTGACTATTGACTACTAATAAAAAAAGCCTGCCCATTTCTAGCAGCAACGCATATGGAGAACGAGGTGGTGAGCTGGTGACGGTGGCTTAAGGACTTTGTTGGATGAGTGGTTCACGGGTCCTTTCTGGTTGAGGGTTGAGATTGGACGAACCGCCTGGATTGAAAATTCAAGGCCTCCAAGGAGGGATCAGGGCGGCGGCTCTGTGCAATGTTGACTCGATTTGTCTCTCAGATGCTGATCTTTGCAGCAGTGTTAAATTAGCTTCAAGTTCCTGTACAGTTTTCATACTACGCAGTCCATTCAAGTTCTGGTTCTGCTAGAGGACAGAGATCAATTCTTAATGTTGCCAAATACTTGTCCTGAAGAGAACCAAACGTGACATGACACGCCAATCTAAGCAGTAAACGTGGAAATAAATTGAGGGAAAAGGATAAGGAATTATACAATTGATGCAACATATTTATATCAGATGAATAGATAAATCGATCAGTTATATCTACATGTGTTACAGTGGACAGACACAAACACCCCTTGTTTCCTCTTCAAGAAATTCCCACTCCACTGTAAGCTTCTACAGGGCTACGTACCTAGGAGCTGATAACACTAGTCAAGATGATCTAGTAGAAGGTACAACAGGGTGGATAAAACAGCTGGTCAGCCATCACCTGGGAAGCATCTGGGTCATACTGTCAGCACTACCTAAGATGGCCGAGTTTACAGAAGTGTTTAGTGATTGCTTGCCTTTGTTTTTATGAGAAGATGACGTCTCATCTGAACTACCACCACCAAAGCCCTTAGAGGTTTGAGCTTTGTATATCCCTGGCTCTGTAAGTGCTTTCTCGTTAAGATTTACATCTTTGGAGAGCATCTTCAATACTTGCTTCATGTTGGGTCTTTGGTTTGCAACTGCTTGGGTACAGAAAAGTGCGACCTTCATGAAGCGTATCACCTCATTTTCTGGATATCCAGTCATTTCTGGATCGACAATGTCCAGAAGTCTCTCTTCTTTCCATAGCTTCCATGTCTGCATAAGTGTTCAAATTTAAATTAGCACCGAGTCTACTGCAAAATTTATAAGAACACAAAAATCATAAAGAGGCTTTATAAAGCAACAGTTCAGTATCACTAAACAGAAACACGCCCTTGTCGATGAACAATAATATTCTTATCAAGTAAGACTAGGTGTAGAACCAGGTTAACTGTACTTTTTTCTACTCTGTTTCCTGTCTTCATAGGCAAATAATCTTCATCTCCATGGTATGACAAGACCACAATTGATAAAGATAAAGAGAATGGCTAAACATTCGGAATGGATACATACTCCAACCTACATGACGCTAATGAAAAAACAATCCAGGAAAAGATTCTGTCATTTGGTGTTTAGCAAGATTATTGCATACAGTCATATGGCCATCATATTGATCATACTTAATTTTGACACATCACAAATTTTTTTTACTGCTATTCTATTTTATGATTTTGGTTCTACGGTTGTATAAGAGATTTTATTTATTGGTTATCCAATAACTAGTTTTATTGGTTATTCAAGCCTATCAAAGTAGGGATATCCCATGAAAGATTAAGCACCTAACCCAAGAACCAACAGGTAGATGATGGCAGCGTAATCTCCACATATGTAAGTGGCAGGTGGAACGGTTTAGCCAGTGCCCTAATATGGCATGAAAGAAAATACTACCCATCACTGTAAATAGTTCAAGAATTATTGAGGTTGAATGAGCCTGTCTGATGTAAATTTCCTATGAATGGGCACGTCAGAATGCGGTAACCCTGTTTCTCTTGAGAAAAAAAGTGAATATAAACTTTTGTAATGAAAACTAAAAAGGATGAAGAGAAATGCTCAAATTGATTTCAGAGTCGTCAAAAAATTTGAATATCAGCCTTTGGTCGTTTTTTGAATTGACTTGATTAAATAGAAAACAAGGATTGCGTTGGTTATACTAAGAAGATACCCATTCAACTAAAACCAGCATATCCTCCCCAAATGCTGCCTTGCTGCTACTTCTCCCACTAATTATTTCAAGTATGAGCACCCCGAAACTGTATACGTCGGCCTTCTTTGTAAGTTGTCCTAAGAGGGCATACTCTGGGGCGAGATATCCCCTGCAGATGCATACAAGATGATTATTGATATGAAAAAGAGGAAGCAGAAAAGATGAACAGAGAGATAGTTATCAGACAGCATCAATAATCTAATTCTATAAACATGATGAAAAAATAATTTTTGCACAGGGAACAGAACACAGCATAAGGCATGGCATACGTGTGCTGTTCATCACATGTTCTTTCTATTATATGGTAACAGTTACTTTATGAACCTAACAACATGGTGAAATTAGAAAGCTTACAAATCAAGAACCATTTGGGACCATATTGAAATAAGTTTCCTCACCAGCTTTGGACCAAGCAAAAATTAGAGACAGTTGATCAATAATGTGAAATGCAACAAGAACAGCACTTACATTGTTCCTGCCACTCGAGTACTAAGATGTGTAACATTGTCTGGAAATAATTTTGCCAACCCAAAATCTCCTATTCTAGGCCTTAAGTTTCCATCCAGAAGAACATTACTGGCCTTAATGTCCCTATGGACGATATGTGGATTGGCTTCCTCATGAAGAAATGCAAGACCACTCGCTGTACCTATGCAAATAGCAGCTCTTGTAGGCCAGTCCATAGCAACATGTTTTCCTTGTGAACCTGCAGATGGTTGTTGGATGTTAGCATGATTAAAATCTCCCTCCCTCTAACACACATGCACATAGAGGTGCATGCATGCACTCTCTCATAAGAGAGAGGGAGGGAGGGAGAGCCTAGAAGAAGAATTTAAACTCTAATCAAACCAAAATCAAGAGCAACATTACAGTGCTTTTGCCAAACAAGTTCAAGATAATAACTCTACCGTACCGTGATATAAAAATAACTCTGGTTCGATGAACATAATTAAGAAATATATTGCATGGGTGAAAAGATCTTGTTATAATATATGAAGTCTCATACAGATTATGAAGAACATCTCATTCATGTAAATGATGGTTTGGCGCAATATACTAGTAATATCTCGTGAATCATATCAATGCCCCTCCTCTCCCTCAAATGTCCATCAAGCAAGTTAATAGGCATAATAGATAAGATATTTCAATAACTTCATATTTACCAAGTAAAGCGGTAGAAATGCTGTTGTTTTCCATATATTCATATACCAATATTCGATTATTTTCCTCAACACAGCAGCCAACTAGTTCAACAAGGTTTGGGTGCTTTATGGTTGATATCATTCTAATCTCCGTCACAAACTCATCTGTTCCTTGTTTAGATTCTGCAGAAAGACACTTGATGGCCACAGAAGTACCATCTCTTAAAACTCCCTGCAAGGGAAAAAAAAAAAGGCTGTATGAATATTAACTAAGAGCTGAGGCTATGGAATACACAGATTCATGAAGGAATCTGGTAACATGCTCTCCGTCTCTTTTTGTTTCCTCAAAAGGGTTGTTCTAGTACCCGCAAAGGCGTAAAACACAGCTAAAACAATATAATCATCACCAACATAACTAAAACAAAAGAAAAACACAAAGTCTTTATGACTAAACCGCCATCGAATCGTGCTTTCCACTGAAGGATTGCTGCAGTAACCACAAATGCAACTCTAAACCTACGCAGGCTCACCTTATAAACGACTCCGAAACCACCTCCACCGATTCTATTTGATGGATGAAAATTCCTTGTTGCTGATCTCAGCGAATTATACGAGAAGAGATTTACATTGTCGGTGGCAATCACTAGCCATTGGCAAACCACACAAGTAAGAACCTCAAAAACTAAATCACTAAAATAGGAAAATATATTGAATACCAAATTAAAAGGAAATCAACATCCAAAAATCTTAACAAATATCATCATTCCAAGATATTTCATTATCATCATGTCCTCAAAGCGAATTAAACACATTAATCCACTCATAAATACAAAAAAAAAAAACTTAAACATGCTCAATTTTCTTACCTTGTGTGTTTGCTTGTCCCGGAGTATCATTATGATTATTTCCTTTAAACCAATTTGATATACCAAAGCAGCTACAGCTCATTGCAACTCAGCTCAAGCCTCCCCAGCCCTCCCTGTCTCTACACACATCAAAACCGAACTTACCAATTTCTTCTTCTTTGTTTTTTAATAATTACTTTACATTCAACCACAGTAAAAAAAAAAAACCTGAAAAATCCAACACTTAATTAACCCAATAGTAATAAAAAAAAAAACCCTGAAAAATCCAACACTTAATTAACCCAAAAAAAATCCTGACCTGAAAGGCTCCGGATTTAATTTTGCGAAAAGGAAAGTGGAAAGACAGGAAGTGGCTAAAGTAGTTAGAAAGAAATAAAGAGGCAGAAAGGAGAAGATCAAAGGGAAAACAGTAGGCGAGGGCATTGTATTAGAGGAAGTGTTCTTATCGTGAAAGAGGACGACCCGAGTTGATAGACGACAGCTAGAACCTTTTCACACGTTTGGGCGCGTAGGTTGTTGGTCGGTAGTTCCCTCCATGCCATTTGTCTTGGTGTCTACTGTTGTAAAAACTTGTAATGGTGGGCATGTTTTGTCAGGTCCCTTTCGAAATTTAAATTAATTTTTTATATATTTTTTAATTATTTTGATATAAAAAATAATTTTTTGAAAAAATAAAAAAAATTATATTAATTTATTTTTAAATAAAAAATATTTTTAAAAAATACCTACTACAAAGATCACAAACACCTCTTCAGTAAACATGGTCATATATTAGAACAAGAAGTCAATCCCATGCCTCATTGAGACTTTTTGTCCGACCTTAGTTTTTTTTTTGTTGCCTGTGAATACTTTACAGGGTCTGCCCGAAGAAAAATCCGACGGACAATTTGTTTTTCTTTAATGATTTATTAGATTTAAAGTAATTTCAAGTAGTTAAATTTTAAATTATTTTTTATTTAAAAATATATTAATATAATATTTTTTTAAAAATTTATTTTTGATATCAACATATTAAAACAATTTAAAAATAAAATAAAAAATTAATTTATATTAAAATCAAAAACAAAAAAATTTAAAAATTTTTTAAAATATTTTTAAAACATAAAAATAAACTATTTGATACCCGATTTTAATTTACAATATAAAGCAGAGACGTTTCATTTAAATCTTCTTCCCAATAACCATTGCCTAGAATTTCCTGTAATTATGATGCGCGGCTGGACTCAGTTGGTCAGCTCATACCAGGCATTCAAACCTTTGTTCGTCCCGTGTTCATTAAATCCGAACATAGAGTTAGACTCTTGTGAGCTGGTCATGGTTGAAGTTAAATTAATTCAAGTCAATAATTTCTTTTTAAAAAAATATAGTTTTTTAGAAAATCTTGTAAGAAAAAAGTCAATTGAATTTAAATTATATCAATTAAATTACGAGTTGATATTTTTTTGATATCTAAACTAACAAAAAAAAGTCAAATTATAGGTCAACACATTAAATGAAATAAAAGGAAATAGAATAGCCATAAAATAATTTAGAAGGTGCTCAAAAGAAGGTTGATAATTTCTCTTGTAGATTCTTAAGCTGAGAAAGGCAAGGCCAGACCTTACAGTACACCATTTAAGTTTTGATTAAGAATATATTTTTTATTTAAAAATATATTAAAATAATATTTTTTTAAATTATTTTTTTATATTAGCTCATTAAAATGATTTGAAAACAAAAAATTAATTAATTTGAAGTAAATAAAAGAATTTTTAATTTTTTAAAAAATATTTTTGAAACATAAAAATAAACAAGGTTTTAATTTGATAATATATTAAATAGCTGAATGGTTGATATTGGAGATTATTGATATTTTCTCTTAATTTTATACTAGTTTAATCCTTTTATTTCTGTTTTTATTTGCACAAATGTATATTAATCTTATATTTTCAAAATAAAAATAAAAATAAAAATAAAAATAAAAATTATATGGTCCTTTTGTTAATATTGTGCTCTAAAGGGTACCTAATCCATTCGTTAGCTCTACCACATGGTATCATGAAGACGATTAGTCAACAAAGTAATGATTCATAGGAAAAGAACCAGTAAAACAATTTTATCTTGTAATTTCTTTTATAATATAATAAAAAGAGAAAACTCAAACGAATACCAAATAAAAAAAAATGAGAATACAAAAACTCTAAACGTTTTTATTTTTCAAGTATAGCTGATTGTACACATGGACTCTGTTTTTATTTTTTTATTTTCCCCAAACAAACATGTTTAAAGAGATCAGAGACTCCACCTAAAAATTCTTTCATTACCCAGATATATTTTCACTGTTTACTGTTAATCTTCAACGAAAAAATTCAAACCATTGAGCCATGATTCTCGCCTATAGGCTAAAATATGTTAAGAAATGTAATTTAATTGGTTAGATTTTAAATTTATTTTTTAAAAGTTATTAATTTAAATTTTATAAATTTCATGATTAATAAAAATTTATATTGTTGTTGACTTCAAAATATATAAAATTAGTCAAAATATTCAAAAACTGATCGAACACCCAAAAACTCACAAAATCATGCATCGTTTCACCACCATTTTATACAAGATATACGCCGGCTGGAGACGAGGATACAATATTATTAATCTAATCTTCATGCAGACAGTGTTGCTTGATCTGTTCATTGTACGTACTTAGGAATAGGCAAAGTATTTTATATAATTCTGGTTCTCTAGGGTCGGTGTCTCTTCGATGATCTTACGTTAATCAAACTGGGATTAGAATAATAGTCGAAATCGATGCTTTTTTCTTTATCTTTTTTTGCCTTGGTTGCATAAGCAGATCGCCATGGGAGGCCCGAGGATAATACTATGGTAAGATTCTGCAGCCAGGCGGCTGGAAAGTGATGTATTATAACACGCCGAGGAAAAGGAATAGTTTGTAAACCTTTTTAGAAGTTTCGATGATATTATATTATATTATGTGTGAAATATTTTTTATTTTATAACAAAAGTTAAGGTTTTATTTAATTTATTAGAATAGCAGTTATTTAATTTTATCTTAATAGTTATATATTAAATTCTAAGTTCCAAATATTATTTTTTAGTATTATAAATATTATATAATAGTATTAGAAAGTCAAATTAAAAAATTTATCCTAGCTTAATTTATGACACAATAAAAACTTATATTTAGGGTTAGAAAGTTGTAACTTCTATGCTTTAAAACGTCCTCTTCGGAGGTGGAGACAGTGGAAGGTGGCTGGACAAAGAAAGCTATATAACTTGTAGGGCAGAGCTTTGACGATATCCATATAATTATACCTGCTCCAGCCTCTTCAGAAAAGACCCGATTGAGCCATGGATTCAAGAATCAAACAAGAAACCGGGGTTCCTTGAATCGCATTCTTAGTTGATCCTTTGAAGTCAAAATAATAACTTGTATGCTTGCCCGTGGTTGATCGTGTAGAAAATGATGATCAATCAGGCAACATCACACCTTTCAGATCAAGTTTCTTCACTGATTTCTTAGCATCTTCCCACGGTGGCAGCTCTACACATACCCACAAGGAATGACTTGGGTGTTACAGTTTATTTTGGTGGTTGAACTCGATTTTCATGGATAACTTGTGTGGAACAAAAATTCTGAAAGTTGAACGATCTAGTGGACGAAGATTTCCCATCTTTACCTTTCTACATTCTGTCTTTTCACAAGTGATTCAATTCTAAACTTGATAAGAATCCAGCAAAGGGTTAAATGAGAAAATTTATATTCTAGAGGAATTATGTTTATTGTTTAATTTTATGCTATCTAGTTTAACTTTTGATTCATTATTAGATCAAGTTGATATTTAACCAAGAATTTTTAGATATATTTTTATACATAGAGTAAAAATTTTAAGTTAATCAAAACTTTACAAGGAACCATGATACATGTTAAAAAATAAAATATAAGTTTTATTATTTGTTGACTTCTAACTTGTAATTTTTTTATTTAGAGATAATTTTTTTCCTAATAATAAAAAGATATTTAGCAGCTAATTTTGAAACTTTTCTAGTTTTATAATAATCTTTAATGGGTAACAGTATAGTTTTTAGGTGTGGCAATAATTTCTTTAATGTTTCAAAATTCTTTTCTCACAAGGATTCTTGGGCTGATTTTTTATATTATACAATTTTACTCTGACAAGTATAATTTTTTATTCAATTATTGGATCAGACTGAAATTTAAACAGACATTTTCATAAGTCCTATTTTATATCATGTTAAAATTTCACATCAATCCAATATCAAGAAGGCCTTGTAACAAGGTTTAGAAGTTATGTGCAAGATTTATATAAGTTTCCTCATTGATTTAAGTTATTTTTTTCTATTTTATTTAGAATTCTTTTATTATTATTTTTTTCAGAATTTTTTATGACATTTCTCATCTATTATAAATAGAGTTATTTAGATTATACTTTGGTTTTAAGCTTCCATCCATAATATTTTGAATAAACTTATGTTTTGCTTGATATAACACTTTTCTCTTTGATCAAACAAAGAACAATTAAAGTTATCAAAGCATAACTGACTTTGTGGTGTTTTTCCTTATACTTCTCATTTATGAATTGGTATTCGTAGGGTGGGAGTTTATACTCTAATAGTGATAATACTTTAGTTTAGGTAATATATACGTCACACTCCTATTAAACTTGATTCTTTGACTTTTCAGGATTTTTCTTTTCTACATGTGGGTTACATGATCATGTAATTATCAGGTTCACATTAGTTGGTATTAAAGTTCAGCTTCATTAATTAGGTTATATCCTTATTAATTTGTTTTTCTCATGTTCAGCGTCGAACTTTTTGTTCCAATCTTCTTCTCTTCAACTCAATAGCGACATCTTCTTAGTAAAAAAAGAAAGCATTGTTTTGATTTGTTAGTGTCCCTTAACAAACCAGTAGCATAAAAATAATAGATAAATCATTCAAAAATTAGTTTTAGATTTTTTTACAGATAACTAAGCAAGAAAAAATGGGATCAAATCAACTTAGAATTAGCTCGAACTTAATATTTTGGTCCTAATAGCATGATATATTAAATTGAGGTCATTCAGACATTATTGACTTGAGGTTCTAAATTCGGGTATTAAAAGGGCTGTTTCATATCAGTTGGTATCAGAGCTTAATTTTATTTATCAAATTATATCCTCTTTGCTTTTGTTGTTTAAAATTATATCCGTGTATATCTTTTTCCTTTTTTTTTGTCTCATTTTAGGTATATTTTGGTTAAAGTTCTATTCTGTCAATATTTTTTTTTTTGTTATTGTCTAGTTTTGCTTTAAGGATCATTTGATAAAAAAGGATCTTCAACATTTAATTTTTTCCTAAATATCTATTTAAAGTTAAAAATAATCAACAAAATCACAAATTTAAATCTACAGAGACTGATTCATTCAGGTAATAAGATAAATTAAAGTTTTTAGATTTGATCTCATTAAAATCAATTAGGTACTTATAATTTTATATTTGAAATTTTAGGTTAAAGTTTCTATTCCGTAGTATTTTCGTATCATAATTTGCTTGTTTCCCACCTCATTTTCTTATTTTGCCATGTATTCACTAAGAGATAAAGAATAAAGAAGGTTTTCACTCGAGAATGTAAAAAAACCTAACCTCTATATTTGGATTTTTAAGGAAAGAATTTAGTAAGTCAAAAAACTATTCTATGCTTTATTGAGAGAGGAACATCAACGCTAAAAAAATTTCTTATAAAGTTGTTATATAGGCAAGTGTTTGTAAAAAAAATATTCTGAAGGCTTTACAGAAGGCTTATAGAACCTCCATTCTATCTATTAATGATTTAAAGATTAATCATATGGAAGAGATAAGGAATTATACGACTCAAAAAATAATTAAACAAAAAAATTTAGATTTTTGTGCAATGTAACTTTACATTATCGAGTATAATTCTCATTCTAATTATTAGATCAAATTAAAATTTAACCAAAAATTTAACCAAGAATTTCTGGACATACCTTAGGTTAAAATTTCAAGTAATAATATTTTATTTAGAATTTTTATTATTATTTTTATTATTTTTTTCAAAAGTATTTAATTTATTTTCATCTATTATAAATAAAGTTATAGAGTTATTTAGATTATTTTTAGACATGATATTCTAAATAAATTTATTTTTTATGCAATACAATACCCTTTCCTCTGTCAAACAAAAAATAACCAAAATTATCTAATCACAACCAATGTTGGGTGATTTTATTGGGTTTTTTTTTTCTTTATGCATATACTTCCGAGTCATTAGCAAGGATACTTTGATTTGAGCAATTTTTATATCATATTCTTATCAAACATGATTCTTTTAACTTTAGAATTTATCTTTCTTGTATGTTGATTACACGAACACATGATTACAAGATTCACATTAAAACTTACTGGAATCAATATTCAAGGACAGGGCTTAGCGCACCGCAGAAGCACCTGGCCCGGAACAAAGGATGCTGGTTCCTCCTGTTATATTGATGGAACTCAGAAACTGCAATCATTTAATATTTGTATGTATTATGTATACGCGCTTGCTTAATTTCAACCTATACAAGTTTCAGATTCAGAAGTGCATGAAGAAATAATCTGCAGAAAAATGTGGCAGCTGAAGGATTCTTCAGGTTTCTGGTTTAATTAAATTTGGAGAACAAAATATCCCGTTGCGTTGGGAACAATTCAAAACATGAAACATAAAGTACACCCATTCATCCATGTCCGATAGATTGTTCCACAAGTATATTAAAGGGTTTCGGAAATATATACCCTTCATTCTCCCGAACAGATCACAGAGATGTTAACTGCCCTCTTACTATAAAGCTTCTTGATGGAATATGTGCCTCTTAAAAGATTGTGGCGGGCGAGCTTATAAGCATAGGTACAGAAGCTTGTGCGATGATTTTTTAGCATAAAAAATTACCTCAATTTTGGGCCTGAAGGGTACATCACCTGAAATGCTGACTTGAAGGAGAGGAATTTCCTCTATCGCTTCCAAATTCGTTGTCTTCTATTTCTATCCCATCAGCAAAATAGGAGTTATTGTTGACACTTGGTTCAGAGCTAGCATTGCTGCTTGTAGCCAGAGGGGAGTCCGAAACACTAACTGTCCTGCCTTTTGAAGATCCTCCTGATCTGACACTGTACATAGAGGAAGCAGGGATGTTGGTCATAAGGGGGCGTAAATTACCCGAAATGCTTCGCCTTATATCCTGCTCAAGAGAAAAACCAAATCCATTAATGGTTAGCTACATATAAACAAGAACACAACACAACCAATGAACGTCCTCTTTAAGTCAAGGATATATACCATATGCCTCAAAGCCATATCCAGAGATTTCTTTGAGAGAGTTCTTCCAAAGCCTGTGCTATCAAGGGAGGATGACTTCCCAGCAGAATTACTGAGGCTGGAGTGAGAGCCATCTTGCTTTGGTGGTACCAGTTTTCTCATGTTCACCACTCTTTCAACCATCTTTGTTCCCATTTGCACTGGGTTCACATCGTCACCGCCATTGGTCTGTGTTCTGCTCTTTGAGGGAATGGACATCCGACTGGCCTTTCCTCGAGATGGGGAGCATGATTGTTGCCTTGGTCTTCCATTAAAACCAGCATCACTAGAAGATGATCGAGCACTTGGACCTCCAGGCCTACCCCTGGAAGCTGAAGCTGGGCGAGCACTTGGACCTCCAGGCCTCTCCCTCGATGCTGAAGCTGGGCGAGCACTTGGACCTCCAGGCCTCTCCCGAGA